GTCTCTCTCTTATTTTCTATAGATAATCCTGTACTTATGCCATTTCAAGTTTCGTGGATTATTTTAGGAATTGTTTATCAGCTTTTTCATTATAATTCTTAGAAAATTGGTGATTTATGATGAAGTATGGCAATCCTATTGGTGGAAATAGTTAGCACACAAACTGGTTGCATAGTGTGCTTTCATCAGGGTCCCCGGGACCAGCCCCACATTCAGAGTTTCACTAGGACTCTCAAGACGCAGCATCTAGGTGTACTCACAGCCAGGTTACCTTAGAGCAGTGTATTGAGGATGCTGGAGCAGGGAAGAAGACATGGTAGAACCTAGAGGTATCCACACAGGCTTCCCTAATTCCCTTCCCATGAGGGCTCACAGAGTGCACTCTTCCCCCAGCAATGAAAATGCAGCCCTACGCAGGGGATGCTTCTGCCCAGGGAAGCCCACTAGAGGTTCAGCATCCATGGCTGTTACTGAAGGCTGGCCTTGTAGGCACCCGCTGCCTAGCGTGTGACCACATTCCAGACCCCCAGAGAGAAAGCAGGTGTTCAGCATAAACCACGTTATATGCACAAACAGTGGAGGCAGTGAGACACCCTTATCAGTTAGGGAGTAGTGGGAACACTTTCTTATACCAGCCAAGGGTCAACCTTGCAAGCAGGCCTTTCTAAGGACAGCCATCTCTGGCTCTCTGTTGTTACCCTTTACTCACACTATAAAGCTAGGTGTGAATATGTACAAATTCCTTCTGCTATCATTTCAATGGTAGGCGCTTTGTTGTCCATTTACTTACTATATGAACCATTTATATTTATCAGGGCTGCTGAAGATTTATTGTCTCAAATCCAGAAAAATTACCAGAAGCCACAGGAAGAACTGAAGGTAATAAAAGAAGCAGCAATCAGCCTCCTTTCCAAACATAACAGTGAACTGCAGGCAGCAGAAGACCTCGTGAGGAAAGCAGAGGCGAAGACCCAGGAAAGCAACCCCCTGTTGCTCATTGTCAGTGCCAGCCTGCAAGAGTTCAATGTGAGTCTTTTTTTTTTTTTTATTCCTGCCTGGCCCCCAATGTGAGTCTTAATAGCTCTCTCCTCAGTTAAAACTGGTAACCAAATTCTCTGATGTAAATTACAGTATTTTTAGCTTCTAACAAAATGAACCCTGAGTACTAACCTCAGCACAGGACATCAGGCACCAATGTTCAGAAGCTGACTTGGCTTATGAAGCATCCTTAAAGGTGATTTTTGCTACAGGATATAAAGCGGCATGTTCAAGAAGAACAAAACTTGACCTCAGTGCTAATCACCAAAGGAAGAGGTTTGCTAGATGCTGCCACTGCGCGTGCAAAGGCTGCACAAAATGCTCTAGCGGTAAGTTACAACTCAGCACAGCCACAATACAGTTTCCAAAGAATCTTCGCACATCTCATATATGAGTATATGTGCACACATACATGGTTAAATAGATGCATATATATTCACAGTATTGATTTCTCTATGTAGCATTTAGAGCATCACTGTGATGAGCTACTTCTATGGACTGCCAAAATCAGGCACCATGTGGATGATCTGGTTATGCAGATGTCCAAAAGAAGAGCACTTGACCTTGTCTACAGAGCTGAAGATCATGCAGCTGAGCTCCATAGATTAGCAGGCGCTTTGGACAGGTGAGACCACATTTTGTAGGAATTCCAATGGTTGAGATTCATTGATCAGAGAGAATAAGGATTTTGATCATAGTGTTGAGTCCTTCTTCTTTTGTCTAAAAATGAGGATTCCGGGCCGGCTAAGTGGCTCAGTTGGTTAAGAGCTCGCTCAAGAGTTTGAGCTCTGAGCAACAGCGGTTCGAGTCCAGCCCGAGCTGAGCAGCCGCTGAGCTGCCANCTGATTTTTTTTTTTAAGGTTTAGAGTTAGGGTTAGGGACAGGGTTAGGGTTAGGGTTTAGGGTTAGGGTTAGGGTTGGGGACCTGAATATGATATTTGACATTGTCAATTTGTTGGGTGAAAAACAAAAGCAGGAACTTATTGTCAGGTGAGATTTGGAAGACAACTAGTAATCTAATTATTAGTTAGGGCGCAGAAAGGGTCCTGAGAGAACTATCAACTAAATGCCATGTGGAGAAGTTAAAGGCGCAGGAGGGCCCAGAAGGCGGGGAAGGGAGCTACAGTCTGTGGGAGGGTGCAGGCTTCACTTCTCACGTCCCGTGCTGTGATCATCTCAGCCACCTTGTGAGGCAGGGGAGAATGCAGCTATTGAAACTGAGACCCAGAGACTATAAAAGTAGACCAGTGTTAAACCTCCAGGATAATCTGAAACCTGACCACAAACCTAAATCTGTGTGACTCTAAATCCTGTAATTTTCCAACCCAAAACAGAAGGAAGTATTTGAGACCCAGTTCGTAAAAGACAGGTGGGTGGAATTTGGATGGTCAGGTCAGAGACCATGCTGCTACCCTCACACTAGATTATAATCATGTTTCTGACCCCGACCTTTCACCTGCATCTTCCCTCGCCTGATAGGCATGGCAGGAGAGAACACTGCAGGGAAAGGAGCTCACACCTCCATGTCAGTCTTCCCAGGACCTATCCATGCTTGAGGCGGCCACCCCAGGTTCAGCTGTGCTGTTCTCTGCTTAGCTCTCCACTGCTATCCAGATGACATACAAATGTCATACATTTGAGTCCAGCCCCACCTCCTTTCCACACCCCACGTTATCCCCCCCACCTCACCCATTTCCCACCCATCCTGATTTCTTTGGCTTCTCCCAGGGCTTCCTGCCCTGCTTTGTCATCTCATTTGCTCCCTCCCTCAACTTCACATCAGAGTGGATGGGAGCTTACTAAACATGGAAATTCCCTGGAGATCCAAAGGCGTCCTTTTGTGGGGCCGTCCTCTCCTACCATTACCCTTCAACAATCTGTTCATTCGTTCATTCAACAAAATGAGCCCCCCGTGGCAAACACTATGCCAGCACTTGGGACACAAAGGAGAACACTGGAGCTTTTTTGCCTGCTAGGAGCTCAGTCCAATTAGGAAAAGTTCATCTTCTGAATAGCGTTTGAGAGGAAGGGGAGAAGGTCCCCTCCCACCCTGTTCTCCTCA